CCCCAAAACCCCAAAACCCCAAAACCCCAAAACCCCAAAACCCCAAAACCCCATATAAATTATCCCTTATTGAATAATATATCATATATTTAAAAATGTACAAAGCTGTATTAGTTTTGGCAATTCTTGTGTCGGCCAGCTTGGCTGTGCACATTCCGCTAACTCAGAGAACTGTCTCTAAATTTGAAATTGATGCTAAGAGAAGTTATCTCCAATCCTCAGAATTCCAGGATGAGATGGAAGCTGCTTTGAGAGCAAATGACGAGCATACTCTTCTCCCAATCAAGGACTACACCGATACTCAATATGTTGCTGAAGTAACTCTCGGTTCTCCACCACAGAGCTTCATGGTTGTGCCAGATACTGGTTCATCAGACCTCTGGGTTTACTCTTCAAGCTGCTACTTCTCAATCTCTTGCTACCTTCACAATTACTACAAGCACAAGAGATCAGATACCTATCACAAGAATGGAAAGCATTTCCGTCTTGGATATGGATCTGGAAGCGCTAGCGGACACTGGTCTAATGATGATGTTAACTTCGCCGGTTTGGAGGCTGAAGATTTCAGATTCGGAGAAGTCACCTCTGTCATGGGGCTTGCATTTATCATGGGACATCTCGACGGTATCCTCGGACTTGCATTCGATACTATCTCTACCGACAACTTCCCAACCTTCTTCGAAGCTGCTGATATTGAAGACAGATCCTTCTCCTTCAAACTTGGACATGTTGATGAGGATTCATTCTTGGTAGCCCCAGGAGTTGATGAAGATCTCTTCACAGGAGACTTGCAATACCATGATGTCATCGAAGAGAAGTACTGGAGTCTTAATATGACCAACATTAAGGTCGGTGGAACCTCAATGGAAGGAGCTTCTAACTATAAAGGAGTTATTGACAGTGGAACCTCCCTCATTGTTGGAGACAAGAAACTTATCGACCCAATCCTCAAGCAAATTGGAGATATTGACCAATCCTGTAAAGATCTATCTGGTCATCCAGATGTTACTATTGTTTTTGATAGTGTTGAATATACCTTGACTCCTGAAGATTACATCGTCAGAGTAAAATCTTTCTTAGGAGAAGCATGTGTTAGCGGATTCATGAGCGCCAACTTCGCCTCTGGTTTCCCATATCTCATCATTGGAGATGTTTTCATGAGAAAGTACTACTCTCACTTCAATATGAACGACAAGACTGTTGGATTTGCTCTTGCCAATCATGAATAAATCTAATTGATCAGAACTGGTTAGTTTCAACTTTACCAACTTTTAAAGGGGTTTTGGGGTTTTGGGGTTTTGGGGTTTTGGGG